ACACTTGGTATTCACACCGATGGTGGTAGTGTAGCGATCGTGTTGCATGGTGTCGAGTAATAAATCCAGAGCAACTAGTTTCCTTTTCTAAACGGTTCGTCGCAGCCAGATTCAGTGAGACAACCACTACACAATCGGAAAGCTGCTACGCAGTACCTTCGTCTTGCGGAAGGCTCATCGGCTGCTCACATCCGCTGGATCCTGTTAATTCGAACCCAATGCCTTACTATTGCAAACTGGCTACTTATGCAGCCGAGCGTTGGGTGACGGAGGCGGAATGCTATGATTGAATACTAAGTACGATATAGCGCGAATAACCCTTAACTTAGAGACATGTTATAAGCATGCAGAGGATAGGACTGGCCCCCATAGAGTTACAATCACCCTCCACCACTCAAGGTAGCATTAAGCTGCTAAGCACCTTACTGCGTATAATGGGGTTTGTTTTGAAGGTTAAGTTTTGTAGTACACACCGTGTGTTTTGGATTGCAACGCCCAACTCCATTTGGCTTTGGTTGACTGTGAAGCCAATCGGTGACATTCCGATCACTGTGACCGTATCCGACCGAATTGGCGGGTTTCGGTATTACTCTCCCGCATCACTGCGCTGCAGTGCACCGGTTCATTTAACTTCCGAAATGGCTGGTCGCAGCCAGACCCGGCTAGGTAGCAACCACACATCCGGAAAATCGCTAAACCACCGTTTTGTCTGACTCCGAAGGACCTTCTGAAAAAAACATTGTATACCCTTACCACTGTTTAAGAGTCCTGTTTGGTAGTTTAGATTCCAAGGCAATTTGCCCTAGCTGAACCTAACAAGACACCTCTTACATAGCCAGTAAAGCGCTAAACGACTGTTTTATCTTTTCAGGACTCCTCAATAAGGCATATTACATTTAATTCGCGGGGCTGGAAGCTCCAGCTTTCCTCATACAAGGCACCGGTTAAAACTTCTGAGCTCCAATTATTCCAAAACTGCATTCGCATCCGATTTCACCGAAAGTTTGTTGTTTGATTACTATTCAAAACGCTTTGGATACCTTTAAAACATATATCTGCTTAAGGTGCTAGAAGTTCTGCGTCCATTTTATGATCTGCAACTGTTGAATATCTGAATTTGACAGTCATTTGAAGGTGTGCTGTAAGCACAGCGTTCACCATAGATACTGGTCTCCAGGTTTTAGCGTTTTCAACTCTAGTCGGTACAGTTCTTATGATTCGCTTCCTGCTTCAGTCACCTTTTTATTACGCTTTCTCAAGGGTCGATGTGTAAAACTCCCATTGGTTTTACTCCCACCAGATCTATCATCTCTGCGATGCGGACGCAGCGAAACCGCCGTTTCGCTTGAAGACTCCGGAAACTGGTGAAGATACCTTGTCTACTGATCGCTATTCGCTTTCAAATATCTCTGGATGCCATAGTGAAGCTGTGGAGCGTCCCACAACTTTTACCTCTCAGTCTACCTCACCAGCATGCCTGTTGCCGATAAACGTGCTGTCACTCTGCGATTTCTTTGGAGGCTTTTTCTCCCTATGGGTCACTATCATTGCTGCATGCGCCATGCCCGCACAACATGCACAGTTGGCCTATGTGCTATTTGTACTCGTTTTGACTGTCACCTTGCAGGTGGCTCGCCATTCGGTTGCTCAATTCGTGACACCCTGTGCCCTGGGTGTAACATTGTTAGTTATCTCTTGGGTAAGTTCATGTGTTCCCAACTCCTGCCATAAATTTCACGGTGTGTAATTTTGACCTCTCGTTTGTGCTGTTGCTATGCGCAACTAATTTGACACAAGCGATTCAGCGTACACTGGAAACTACCTCACTTCATTCTTTGACCTTCTCTTTTCATTTAGGGGAGTTGCGCTTAGATACTACTACCGAACATCATACAGCTAAAAATGTGTACTTACTTAAGCTATCTCACTTAATTGTCAGATGCAATTTTGACTTCCAGTTACGTCCGCCATTGCACCGGACGGTGGTACCCGGGTAAGGAATCATAAACCTCTAACTCTTTATTCTGATAACCATCCAATTTTTTCTTCGTGTTATAACGTTTCCACCGTAGACTTGCGCTTCACAGCGTAGTGTTGCAGACTTCTGGCTTGCAACCATTGCACCTGGTGACTGTGTTTCAGCTCGGGCATGAGCATGAGCATCATGCTATCATCATCGTACACACAAAGCTCTGAATGCTCAGTCATACTCCAGTCTCATCCCACGCCCATAAGTGTGCAGTTTAAAACCATCATCGTAGTGAATAAGCGAAGATACGTTACCGCTACTATCTCCATCCTTTCTTTTCCATCTGTTTTGCTGGCGCACAATATCACCATTACCAACTTCCCTTGCTTAGTTCCCAGCCTTGGTAAGACCTGCTTTTTTGCCAACAACAGCTGCAATGCTACCACATTCACTGAACACGTATAATCAACAACAACTTATTAGACAAAAATCCCCTGCTTAGCTAACCGATCTCCGAGACCATCGTGTAAAAAGCTGGGGAAAGTCGTCGCCTGCACGGAGTCAGGCAGACAGCCACCGCACATTCAGAGAAGCGCTAGACGTCCATTTCTTTCTACTGGGACCAGTCAATAGCGCGCAACCGCCGTATACTATCGTATTCGCACCCACGACCTTACGGTTACGAGTCAGCGACATTTACCACGGAGCCGTTGATGACGGCAGCAGACTATCATGATTGATATTTGACTGTGATATAGCACGGCTCATCCTCCACTGTCATGCATATTATGAACGTGCAGAGGACGGGATTGCCCCCAGAGCAACGCTTCCTCTGCAAGCCACCCACCGATCGAGGAGGCATGTGACTTGCTAAGGCGATTACTGAGAACCAGTGAGTAGTATGGTGATGTATTAGCTTTTTATGAGTTGATGTGTGCTGCACCTCCGAAATCAGAACTCATGGATCCCATGGGGTTACATCGACTAACCGCGTCCCGGCTATCCTCCTGTTGTTGAGTGCACTTTTCCAGTGTAGCAGATGGAGTAACCGCAAGTCAACTCGTGGTGGATGTGGGTTTGAATCACAGAGCCGAATCACCGCTAATTGATTTGATTCTCCTGGTTAGTCGTTTGCGTTCAATCAACTCTATGAAATACACTTATTTTAATGCACTAGGTAGAGTTAAACGCCATTTGTCTGTAGTTGGAACTTATGCCTCATTCAGAGGAATTCTGACGTTGCTATAGTCTCATTCTAGGAGAAGGTTATTGTGTTGCTTTGTGGTGTTGCCAAACCAGATGTCACTTCAGTTGCATGGGATATGCAAATAATTCATCTAAGCTCCTGAGTAGCGCGACTACGTTAGACGCCTGCGCTTAACTTCCAATGCACAGACAACGATAAGTGTGTACATTGGAACTCAACTACTGGTTTATCAGTGCGAAAGTTGCCGAACACAACGCATAATTGAAAGAGTTACATTGAATTGGGTGCAGATTTACACGAACACGCAACAAGGTAGTGCACCATTCCCAGTAGAACCGGTAGTGAACGGGATGTCCAATCAGTAAAACAACAGGTAGTCGAAAAATACAAACAACAATAGTATCCAATGTCGATAAATAGTAAAAGCGATGTTTTATGTTCAGTAAAAGTGCAGGTAAGAACCGATTACCGGCAATTTCTTAGCACATTGGTCGCCGATCTGCTACTTGGTTTCACACTCGATCTGTCCTACGGGGGACCAGCGTAGACCACACCCTAAAGGTTTCAAATGGGGTGGCTCCATCCTGAAACCCTGCATTTTCTGCAACGGCAGAGTAGACAGTTCTCATGTACTGTAGTGTCATTGATAGACCATGAAACTTGCCAACAAACATGTCAAATGACTTTCAAATAGAAGTCTGTCCTAATCATCAGGTAAGTAGGCTTGTTACGGACGTCTGCTTACTAAGTTTCCATCCGACTACTCAGACAACATCGCGTTGTTAAGGGATTAAGACTCTACTGTCATGAACTACTCAAAACCTCTGCCTTGTGCACTATCCGTTGTTGTAGCACCGGATAGAGGATATCAGAGTTTGTGCTGGGCCTACCGAGATCCAGTGGCACTACCTACAAACACATAAGGCGACCGCAAACAACAGTGGGCGATAGCCAAATCGAAGTCCATGATGTGATTAGCATCCTTTGTGAACTTAAGTGAGTCAAGACGTGGAAGAGGTTAACTTTGGAGTAATCACGAAGAACGCTTCGAACTTATCCATACCATCGGTCATGCACCAGCGCCGAAACACTGGGTTGTGATAAGGGACGTCACTCGTTCGCTGGGTGTGAAAATTGCAGAGTGGTCTTTTGGGACAACCCGCACTCACTCGCTCCGCGTTAAAGTGGTACGAACTGAACTATGACCGGTTAGCTTATATTCGCTATCTGACAGCAAATTCGAAAGCCGCTCACAACAGTCCAGTTTAGCTCTCACACAAGCTATTTGAATAGTGGGGTTAGGTGAATCGACCTAGTTGTTCGAACAATTTTGGTGGGCGGAGGATGTCCCCACAAACGGAGGTGACTTGGTGATGGCGATGCTATTTGTTACATACCAGGATTCTATCCTTCCTGTCTACTCTATCGGTTGCTGTGAATTGTCCAGTAAATATCAGGGAGCCGAGGTATCTTCTGAGAGGTATGTTATGTTTTTTACTTATGTGTGTTCAGACTTTGCGATCGGTCCAACCCACTCATACTCTAACTAATGTAACGCTGAGATTGAATCATGCTATGGCGTGCTAGTTCCTTACCATCTTGTCCACGGGAGTATGGTCAGGTCGTAGCGTGGTCTATATTGGAGTCGCTTTTCATCCAATAGCTACGCACCGGCTCAGTCGACTTAGTTGACCGGAAGTCATTGCACTGCTTGTCATCTGTCTAGGTTGCTTTGCGCGTGCATCATATACACTCACTTTCGTTCGAATCAATCCGTTCCATCTTGTTTGTAACCAACCTGCGCTGCTTTTTAGCTAAGTTGTGTCAATTATTCACTATCATTCCTGCCCATGCGATCGCCGTTAACTTACTTGAGAGGTGCTTGATTGACCTGCTATCTGCTTACACAATGACTGTCCCGTTCACTCAAACGACGGGCTACCACCGCCCAGATTAATTGTGCCCATAGCAACGAACAATCGAACTTTGACAGTTATCCATTTCTGTTTGCTAGCTGCCGGTCAATATTGTACACAACCTACAAATTGCTTGCAATTCTGATGCACCATCTTAGAGGGCAGCAGTCAGAAATTCTACCATTAACAAGGCGTACTTTGAAGCAAGTTGTTGTTCCCCTCCCCCTAAAGTAACACAAAATCTTACTGAATGCTTTGAAGAAATGTATCAGTTAAAAATAATCTCAGTCCTTTAAAAAATACAGAAGTTTTGTAGCATGCTTTCAACTGGATACATACCCCATTAGATTTTATGTATTTTTGGCTCATCTCCTGTTTAATTTTACCTTCACTTTTCATTGAATGCTTCTGTGTTTACCATGCTTGCTTTTGCCCGTAGGCGCTTTGACATTGATTGCTTTCTTGCCTCCTCTGTGCCTGTCTCCTTCAGATTGTGCGTTCCCGTCAGACAGGCCATTTGTTTCCCCCGATACAGTGGTGGATTTTGAGTTTCTCTCCAGCCCTACTGTGCGCGCTATTCGCTGTTGCTCTGTTTACATCCCCTATGCTGAAACGAGACTACACTCGGTCGCACAGCCTATGGCACATCCTCTTGGGATGCTCGCTGATCGGAATGTTGCCTTGGCCGGACCGATGGCGCGTCGCCCTGATCCCTGCTGTTCCCCGGTACCTTCCCCTCTCTTGTGGTGGCACGGTGAAATTGCAGTTCGATAGGAAGAACTCAGTGTCCATCGCTGCTTCTCAAACTGAAACTGTTAGCCAGTTGGAAGGATGCTTTGACGTCTTTGCCAATGGGCCAGTATTGTCACCAACAAATTGTGATTCCAGTGCTCCGCAAATACCAGATGAAAATATTCGCGAATGCACCTTGAAATCAGCTCATTTCATGCAGAAGTTTGTTACCACTTGCAAGCCCACTACAGCCTGTTTGCGCCATGCATGTTTACGCTGTTGGTGGAAATACAGGCTTGTTTGCGTCAAATGGGACACGGCTCTAGAGCTGAAGCCGTTACTGGACCAACTAGTTCGGAGATGGCCAAAGCTTACATGGCTTCTCCCATATGGTGCGTTTTCATCATGCGTGTCATTACCAATGCCCTCATCATAGTCATTATGTCCTTATTCGCCCTCTAAACCTCGCCGTTGTCGTCGTCATCAACATCCTCATCACCACCCTCACCACCGCCACCACCAGCAGCAGCAGCAGCAGCAGCAGCAGCAGCAGCAGCAGCAGCAGCAGCAGCAGCAGCAGCAGCAGCAGCAGCAGCAGCAGCAGCAGCAGCAGCAGCAGCAGCAGCAGCAGCAGCAGCAGCAGCAGCAGCAGCAGCAGCAGCAGCAGCAGCAGCAGCAGCAGCAGCAGCAGCAGCAGCAGCAGCAGCAGCAGCAGCAGCAGCAGCAGCAGCAGCAGCAGCAGCAGCAGCAGCAGCAGCAGCAGCAGCAGCAGCAGCAGCAGCAGCAGCAGCAGCAGCAGCAGCAGCAGCAGCAGCAGCAGCAGCAGCAGCAGCAGCAGCAGCAGCAGCAGCAGCAGCAGCAGCAGCAGCAGCAGCAGCAGCAGCAGCAGCAGCAGCAGCAGCAGGGACTGCATTATACTGTTAGCCGGGAAGGTAGCATTTACGAAAACCAGAGAAGGTTGGATCAACGCACAACAAGCGGGAGCTCAGCCGCCATGTCCAGACTAAATTTACGCAGTATGGTTTGCATGTTTATACAGTGTTTGTGACTATGCAAACAACCCACAAATAATCAACAAGTATAGGCTTTGCCAAAATGGATAATTGAGATAATAGCATCCATATTCGCCAGAGTGAGTAAAGGGTTTACATCACTTCCTTGTGCCACTCCGCGGTACGGGTGTAGTGTTGCGCTTATTTAAGTCAACCAACTTAAGTCGTCTTAGTACAGATATGATTGGAGTGGATTTGTTATCTGCACATCCTCAGTTTATATGGTGACCCTTGTTAGAGACTCTGTCGAGCGTCTTCCGATATCGAGGAGGATGAGGGTCGTTGTTTAACTAGCGTTTGCAGGTCACGCGCCAGCGGTCTAATAGGAAACATTGCTGGGACGGCGAGAGCAATAGCTTGGGTATCAGGATCAAAATAAATGTTCCTTAACAACACGTTTATCGTGTTACAACATTCACCCTACCTCTTTGGTTTGCAACGACGAATGTCGCACATTGAGCTTAGTGGACCGACCGTAGTTGTGTGGATTTGCCTGATGCATGAGGTATTAAACCCAGGCTTAACATGAAATAGGATAATTCCGCTTAGAATAATTGGTCACAAAACACGTTTCAGTGTTCCACAATACTGCTGATGTCATCGTCAAGACATTCGCTCCTGAGGTAGTGTAGTAGTATGTGCGCCTCAGCATTCCATTGAGCTGTGCTGGCTGCTGCCTAAAGATACTTTGAGGGCTACCTTTATCGCATCAGTCTGTGATTGCACGTCATGCGAATTAAGTTTCTTGTTCATCTAGCTGGCTGTTTGTTGTGTTGGACTTTGTCAGGGAAGAGAGTAGGCCAATTTCACGAACGAGCAGCGCGAATTCTCGGCAAGCATTGGAATTTATTCCCGACCAAAACATGAACCAGCGGAGAGTTAAGTTACAATGTACAGTCTGCGCTGGTTATCGTTTGATCGTCCATGGGCGTTGACTTCAAATAAACATTAGTCTGTTGATCGATTTCTTTCCGAGGGATCAGCTGGTTTTGACCCTGGGCTCAGCTCGTTCATGTCTCCGGGGCAGATGATTGGATGACCACGATTCACAAGCTCTATTGGTGTACGCGCATGTAACCGTACCCTCCCAGCAAGGTTCGAACTGCCGTGGCACTTGTTCTTGCGATAATGATTCGTCTTTTAGATATTATTCGAGCTTTTGTCTCCCGGTGATCAAACTATTGTGCTTGACTCATTATCGCAAACATTTCTGCGGTCTTCGTTTGGGTGCCTCAGTAGTTCTCCAGACGTGTTGTAGCTTAGCAACAGTTGCATGTGTCAATGTCGCCACAGTGGTTCTATTTCCGCAAAGGGACTATGAATCGTAGTCAAATGGGTGAACCAACACCGATGATGGGATCACCATGCAACCCATCGAATTTACCGTCCTGCCTGGTCGCCGGAACTTTCAGAAGATTTGTAGCAATTTCCTTTCCCTCGCCAATTAGCCTCGTCTCCTTAGTGACCAAAGCCGCCGTGGTCAGCAGTACTAACTTGCTGAGATGCTTCAAAGAGACCGCCTTAGGGGTCTTTTATTCTTTATGGCGCGCCAGATAACCGGCCCTTTCAGCTTAGCACTCACACCATTTTGGAGGAAAATTCGTGAGAACGGTATTGCAGACCTGTGGCTCACAATCTCTCAACAAAACTAATTAATCGATGAGTAACACACTGAGTTCGTCAGTCTGATGTCCCTTGCTAAATCCTGGATGAAATCAACCCCTCATGAAGTTAACAAATCTCTCAAGTAATTGCTACTGCGGAAGCCCTGATCTTGCAACCGAAACACACGCAACTTAGTTTTCTTTCTTGCCTAACGCATCCAACTTGCTCTGTCCGATACGCTTCGCATCACTCCTGTCCCCTCGTTGCGATCATTCATCCACCCACATTTTTCTATAGGTTACACTCATGAGCCTTCAAAGCATGACTCTGAATGCGCAGTTTTCTGTGTGACTGGAATCCAGCAGACGTTAGAGTCGAAGGAGCAGATCAGCGTCCCAAATTTAAACCATATCAGGTGTCCCGGGAAAACGAGTCCAACTGCCCAAACATTGTGATCTGTGGATCCGTTTAGCCGACTTGTGGATTCGTCCCTTCCTATTTCTCAGCTACAAAACATCAATCCTTTATTAATATCCAAATAGTAACCTTTTTGCCAAGCTTTTCATCCCTGATGCTTCTATGTTTTATTGACTTTCAGTCGACCCAGAATCATTGTTCATATGTCCGAGCACTTGCTTTGGTGCAAATCTTTTCGATAACCGCTTGTGGTAACCGTGTTAAGCGTTATGCTCAGTTTTGTCATTCTATGCATAATATTCCCTCGTCGTTTGCCTGTTTCACGTGCATACATAGGATTCCAGTTGGTCGTTTTACATATTTTCTCTTTTACCGCTCGGCGCGGTCTTCGGATTTGACCGCATTAAACACCACCTATTTCAAGGAATTGTTGACGTACACGAATTCGATGATATTTTTAAAAGCCTAGAGTTTCACTTACATACCATATTTTTACAATTAGTAATAAGTGAGGCCCGTGATGTTTTGAAATTGCAATGTAGTTCCGCTCAATCTATCAATGCGGTTCGATGTAGCAGAGAGAAAAAGTGGTCTAAAATAACGGGAATAAGCTAGAAAGGCCTCTTGTTGGGTGTAGGGTTTCTCATCGGAAGCAAATCTGAACAATTGTACACAAACTCATCTTTCAGAGGCTGATGTCTGTTCGCTTCTTGGAGACATTGAGGACCTTAAAAGCACGACCGAGAATCATTATACTTTAGGAAATATAGCATCATAAAAATGTTTAAGACGCCCTTGTGGCAAATAACGGTTTGCTTTGCTTTTATGCTGACAGTCTATCCAACTACAGGAACCGTAGCAGCCGCGTCATCACTGTTATTAACGCTTCTTTGTGCATGCCAGTAAAAAGCTTGTTCTTCTATTCAGTTTATAGGCTGCTTAGTTCCAAAGTGTAAGCTAGGATATCTAAATTGAGATCACTCAGTTTTAGTGGCCAACGTTTATAGACCCTGTCCGCACAACTGGAAGGGTAGCTGTCCCATTTTTGGTATCTCTGGCAACTCGCAGTGGGGAAAAGTTAAGAGAGAATTGCGTAATATATAGAAAAGGCCAGTTTGTTCTCGATCGATTCAGATTCTTTTTCAGCATGATGAGCGTAGTTAAATATTAAAATGCACCGTTAATACCATCGGTGTTTACTTTTAATCATGCTTTTAACCTGTATGAATGAGAAGCATTACGTTTTCAGTACGTACTCACATCGGATTTTATTGTTTTTGAACTTTCCAATTTTATATTCGTCGTACAGCCAACTAACTCCCTCTCCCCCAGTCAGTTGTGTTGCTATGGCGCTCTTTGCTGTTGCTCCCCTGTTCTGCATTCCTCGGCTGGATCTAACCGCTCTGACGGTTCTCCGTATTCTCGTATTCTCATTGCTTGCAACCAGCGTCTGAGTATCGCACCGCAAGCCAGCGTGAGTGACAATGATTCTGCCTTTGACTGACCCTTTTTCCCTTGGCCGCAACACTGAAGCGAAGTTTGGACGAATTTCCTTCATTCGAAAACTTTCAATGTAGCCTTACAGCCTCAGTACTGCATTATTACGAGTGGGGAATCGAATTCCGCTGAGCATGGATGGTATTTGATACCAAAAATGCATACAAGGCGTATGTTTGGGCCGTGCTATGAAGTTTGCCAAGTGCTCGAATTTTGTCCCATATGCGCCTCATTGGAGCGGCCAGGGGCAAATTCAGGCCACTCAACGCTCTTTAGCCATCCCTCCTACGGTAATTTTGCAGTTAATCGGGTATACCCAATTTGTCCCAAGCCAAAAGCGGACGAATTAACAACGAGTTTACTGTCTGCGTTACTGAGCAAATCGACCAGTCCCTGCCCAATTTTGCTAGGGTATTCAATGGATTCGGATACCGCATTCCTAACAAATCGAGGGTTACCGAATATGGTAACATGTCCCTCATGTTAGAAGCAAAGAAGAATTTAGCATTGTTCGTAACCTGGAGATATCTTTGGTCTGCAACGGGCTGCAACTTCGCAACAGAGGCCATCCATTGCTGTCCACAGTATGACAGACCAAAATGATGCCACTCGCTGCAATGATCGTAGCTAGAAATGGAGACAATCCCTTCCTCCATAATGCGCTTGAGGGAAATGGTTACCTTCGCAGATTTAAGTTTTCGTACAGTGATATGTTAATATAAGGTGCAACAATTTCTTTGAAAGTCCGTTGTAGCTGTCCTGCAAGATGACTACCAATTTCATTCGTTATGATTTGTGTTCTTCGCTACAACTCACATAGCTTCTTAGACCCAAGATGGGGATTTTCAAAATCACAGATCGTACCCTAAGTCCGTTTCTGCACCAATTCAGGAAGAAGTGAACCATCTCAATTATACCTGTGTTCAGTCACGATCACTAAACAAATTGTTTATTTCTTGGGGATGTGCAACTAATGCTTATAAGAACGAGATCAAATGTTTCCACAATCATCCTATTGTATGAATTATCTAAAAATGAGCATAGATTTTAGGTTTATGTAACAAAATAGTACGTATTCAATTAGCAACTTTTCGAACTATCGATAAAACAGCGTTCTTCATACACACACACACACAGGACAAATATTTGGGCCGGGAAGAAAAATAAAATGCAACGGGCCGTAGGCCAAATAGTTAGTATATACAGGCTATTTGTAAGTAGTAGGGGGATTTATTAGGTTTTCGTGTAGGTTCGTCGCAGTTAGGCACAGGCAGACAGCCACCACACATCCAGGAAATCGCCGGACGGCCGTTTCCTCCTATTGGGACTCATCAGTAGGGCGCACCCACTGAATCCTGCCAGATTCGAACTCACGACCTTACTCTTGCGATTGAGCGACTTATGTCACTGACCCATGGGCGATGGCAGCGGACCGCCATGACTGATGTCTAACTGCGATATAGCGCGGCTAATCCTCCACTGTCTTGCATGTTATGCATGTGCAGAGGACAGGGCTTACCCCCAGAGCAACGACTTCCTTTGCAAGCCGCCACCAATCGGAGTGGCAAGTATGCTGCTAAGGCGACCACCTACACGGAAAGCTAATAAATTCCGCTACTACTTACAAGTATATGCAGCAGTTCACTTAGCCCGGATACATTGGTGTTCGTAATTTTATCAGGCGTCATAGATACCGTTCGCGAAAGCACTTTTCAAGGATTCATCATCATCATCATCATCATCATCATCAACAGCAGTACATCAGCCATTTGAACTGATGCTTCGCTGCCATACAACCATGAGGACCTATGAAATAAAGAATACGAAGAGGGAGAGAAGGGGGACTTACCTGAAAACCTTAATGCCCTAAGCAAACATTCAGGGTCAAGGCGCCTACACCTTGTTTTGACAACATACCGTCACAAACAGCTGGCTATCGTGCAAAGATAAGGCGGCATCGGCGAGACAGCTTCCTTGCGGCTTTCACTGCCACGCGTCATAATCAGCCATTACCCCGCAGATAACTCAGCACCAAACACACTTTAAACAGACAATCCGATTAGGAGACGGCAGCAGACGCGCCATTGGTGTCCACTGCGAGCCATGTCCTGTAAAGTCTCGAGCCAAGCACAAGGTGAGTCACGTGGACTCCAACCCGGAAGGCGAGACGGACCAACGGCACCAAGTTTGGTCGTCAGTGACTTCATTTCCCGCTGCCAAGTCAACTTCTGTCCACCTCGAGCCTTGCGCCATCCGACACCTGGTAGACTGAACAAGGCCCTCCTAGGTAAGCGGTGACCAGGCATGCGTAGCACGTGCCCGAGCCAACGCAACGTATTCAGTGCTATCTGTTGTTCTAGGGAGCTAGCATGATCATCACCACCTAGTACTCGCCTACGCACATCATCATTGCGGACACGCTGGTGCCATCCGACACCAGCAATGCTTCGCAAACAACGATGATCAAAGACTTGAAGGCGCCTCAGATCTTCAGACCGAAGGGGCCAAGTTTCACTACCATAGAGCAGAACGGCCCTCACCGTGGCCTTGTATACACGGCCTTTCAGACGGAGGGAAACTCCCTTCTGTCGCCAAAGATGACGCAGGTTCAAGAAGGCAGCTCTGGCCTTTGCAATGCGTGAGCTCACGTCAGTTTCTATGCGCCCATCATTGCTGATGCAGCTGCCAAGATAAGTGAATTGATCAACCACCTCGAGTTCCTCGTTAGCAAGCGTCAAGGGGTCATCGAGTGGCTGGTGGTCCTGCAGCAACACTTTGCACTTTGAAGGTGCGAAGTGCATACCAAATAATGGGACCACTCTGGAGAGGCTATTCAGGGTTGATTGTGCCGCCTCAACATTGTCGAAAAGCAAGACGATATCGTCCGCATAATCTAGATCAACTAACCGTTCACCAGGCAGCACTTCAACACCTACATCGTGAGATTCCGCAAGGGAACACTCCATGATAGAATCCACGACGAAATTGAACAAAAACGGGGAAATCGGGCAACCCTGTCGAACGCCACTTGTAGTCGAAAAGCTATCCGATAGGGCACCATAGACCCTGACGCGGCCTCTAGTGTTCGAGTATAGAGCACGAAGGATGTTCACATATTTCGTGGGAACACCTTTCCGCGCAAGTATTTCGAACAGAATCGATCGATCGACTGAATCGAACGCACTCTTGAAATCGAGGAACACAGCTATTGTCGGTCTGCGGTATGCGTGGCGCTGCTCTAGCACCTGCCGCAAAGTAAATATATGGTCTATACAACCACGTCCTGGGCGAAAACCGGCCTGCTCTTCTCTAATCCGAGATTCCCGTTCTGCAGTGAGGCGACGAACGATAATCGAGGCCAGTAATTTTGTCACAACTGGCGTTAGGCTAATACCCCTGTGGTTCGCACAGTCTGTGCGACTGCCCTTTTTGTATATTGCCACTATAATCGATTCGCTCCAATTAGCCGGCACACTCTCTTCGTTCCAGATACGTTCGAATAGGGAGGTCAGTGCCCTGCAGAGGACCTCACCTCCATCCTTAAATAGTGCAGGTGAGAGGGAATCCGGGCCAGCGGCACGAAAACGATTGAGGGCTGTGATCGCGTTTCGGACCTCGGCCTCCGACGGAGGCTCTAAACTAACCGTCCATGGC